AGAAACTCCAGGATGCCAAACTGTACGCCGAACCTCCAAGTGCGAGTTTCACGTACAGAAGAGACTTCCTCGGATACACCATCACGCCAGGACAAATCCACATGCAAGCATCAAAGGTGGAAGCAGTCGGGACTGGCCTACACCGCAGAACGTCAAGGACGTACAAGGATTCTTGGATTCGTCAACTTCTATCGACGATTTCTCAAGGACTATGCCAACATCGTCAGACCTCTCAACAACTTGACACGAAAGGATGCCCCATTCATTTGGGATCCCAAGTGCGAAGAAGCATTCACCAAGGTCAAAAATATGGTCGTCTCGGAACCAGTTACCAGAATTCCAGACCCCCGGAAGCCCTTTGAAGTCGAGACTGACGCCTCAGACTTCGCCATGGGAGCGGTCTTGGGACAACGAGACGAACAAGGAAAGCTTCACTGTTGTTTCTACTCCAAAGCATTTCACGGAGCAGAATTGAATTGGCAAATCCGACAAAGAACTGATGGCCATCATCGAAGCATTTCGAGAATGGAGACCACAGTTATCCGGAACCAAGCATGAAGTCACAGTCTACACAGACCACAAGAATCTCGCGAACTTCGACAAACAAGAACCTGAACAAACGACAAGTCAGATGGAGCGAGTTCCTATCTGAATACAACTTCCGAATCATTTATCGGAAAGGTTCAGAAAACAGCAGAGCAGACGCTCTCAGCAGAAGACCCGACCACGAAGTCACGGTCCCCGAGGAGACACAGGTTATCCTCAAACAAGAAGAAGACGGTAGCCTTGTACCAACTACGAAGCTTCTTATGATAGCCAGAAGGATCAGTACCAGCCCGACTGGAAGGACCCCTGAGCTCATCATGGAAATTCACAGTGCACCTGCACACGGTCACCAAGGAGTTACAAAACGTGGAAACGGATTCGCCAGCACTACGACAAATCCGCCACACGCGCAGAAATTGCGGAAGCAATTAAGGACTGTGCGACCTGCAAGAAAAGCAAGAACAGCCCGCACAAGCCCTATGGCGAGCTGCAACCATTGCAACCACCGGAAGCATGGCAATCAATCTCATGGGACTTTATCGTCAAACTACCAAAGTCCAAAGAACCACTCACGAACGTATGGTACGACAGCATCTTGGTTATAGTCGATCGACTCACCAAGTTCGCCCACTTTATACCTTACAAAGAGGCCAGCAGCGCAGAGGTTAGCGTACACGTTCCTCAAAATCGTTGTTGCCAACCACGGTACGCCGAAGGAAATATCTCTGACAGAGGCTCTCTGTTTACTTCAAAGTTTTGGAGATCCTGATCTCGCAACTTGGTACAGATCACAAACTGTCAACCTCTTTCCACCCGCAGACCGATGGACAGACAGAAAGAATCAACCAGATTCTCGAGACATACCTCCGTTGTTATGTGAACTACGATCAGAACAACTGGGTAACATTGTTACCAATGGCCCAATTCGCATACAACAGCGCAGTTGGCGAAAGCACAAGAGAATCCCGTTCTACTTGAACTACGGATATCAGCCAACAGTGTACGGAGAAGCACGACAAGGACCACAAGCTGTTAAAGCAGTGGCCAGCGTGGCAAAACTCAAAGAAATCCAGAAGAAAGCATCTTTGGATCTCGAGTTTGTACGTCAACGCATGAAGAAAAACGCGAATAGATCAAGGATTGGAGGACCAACCTTGGAAGGAGATAGCGCCTACCTCCTTCGCCGCAACATCAAAACAAAACGACCAAGCGACAAACTGGACTACAAAAGCTCGGACCTTTCGAAATCATTCAGAAAGTCTCAAACGTCAACTACAAGTTGAGACTACCAGACACGATGAAGTGTCATCCAGTCTTTCATTTCACTTCTCGAACCAGCACCTAAGGGCTCACACACAGAAGATTGCATCATCGTGGAACCCAATGAACCAGAATACGAAGTCGAAAAATCATCGACCATAGAGTCAGGAACGAAACAAAAGAATTCTTAATCAAATGGAAAAACTACGGACACGAGGAAAACACATGAACCCGTCACGAACCTCCAGAACTCTCGACAGCTTCTCGAGGATTACCAGAAGACGACACCAACGGCCCCAGGGACGCGAACTCGTCGCCAATCCCGAAAGAAGGCCAGTCGGCATCATTAGAAACGCCAGCAGCCTGGAGATCGCTCACGACCCACCGCTCGTGAGCATCCAGCGCAGGAAGAACACCATCCTCTTCTTCCAACTCCTGCATACCACGAGCAAAAGTTTCCACATGCCTCTCCTTCACTTTCTGGATCGCCCGGATACGAGCAAGACGGCCCGCTGCCTCAGCAACCTCTGACTGTATCCGAGCCAGTTTTCATGAAGATCGAGCAAGGCGTCGCTAGCCTGCTCCTCCTTCTCTTCCATTCTTGACGCTGGTCACTCAGCCGTTGCACTACGAAATAGTCAGCCTAAGAAACCGGAACAACGGCGCACGAACGACTCGATGCCACAACGAGACCATCGCAAGAACGCTTCAGGTTTTGCAGCCTTGGCACGTTTTGGCGCCATCAGCCATCCGACATGGACGTTTGGCGCGAAAACACCGAGTGCAGGGCATAACGTCGCTAGAACCAAAACGATCAAACACGTCGTCACAAGCCGACCGAAGTTTCGAGATAGTGTTTTTCAAAGAACGTTTTTCAACACGACCTGACATCGTGTCAGCACATTGCGCTAGAAAGGCAAGCGATGATTCCCCAACCTGGGAACAGGGACCTACTTATAGGCCTAGAGGACTAGACCTTTGAGAGGAGGAGCTGATGTTACGACCCAACACGCATGACAAGGCCAGGGCCTGCCCCACAGGACCTACGGCGGCTACCACACCATATATGCGGGAACACGAACTCAGGGCGACTCCTCTCGGGACGGAAGAACTATGGGACAAGTCACGTGACGATAAGAGATAAGGAACTCCGTACGTTCGAGATACGGGGTCCGTCCTTTCGATACGGAACCCGTATGTTCAGAACACGGGAACCGTTGGGTAAACATACGGACAAAGAATATGTTCAGGAACGAGACTTGTATATAGTGTGGACTTGAGCCGGGCACAAGGACAGACTTCCATAGCTTCTTCAGCAATCAACTTAGTATCAGATCTTACGATCGCTTTCAGCTATCTTCACTGAGAACCCCTTCTGACAAGACTACGATTGATCACCGAAGCCTTACCCACCTTACGATTTACAGACATAGCTTCAGGGAAGCTATCCACGACTACGACACTGTTTACTTAGTTATCGCAGCCTCAACTTCTGCTAACATACTCACTACGACTAGCTGGCCGTAACAGTTATATACTATTACTAAGCTCGGCTTTTCTTTAATTTATAATTATCTTATCTTTTATTTTAATTTTAACCTTTTCTCTAGCTCGTACTTCTTTTTTAACTACTTTTTTTTTTATTTAATAATTAATTCCTCTTTTATTTTTATTATTAACTTAATTTTAATACTAATTAATAACCTTATTTTTGGAATATTTTAGTTTACGTAAAATAAGGCCTTATATATCGTTTTATTTAGAGTTTTAATTAATATTTACTTTATATAGCCTTTTCCTTTCTTTATAACTTAAAATTTAATAATTAATAACTCGGTTTTAATTTAAAAATAATTAATAAATAATAATTCTTTTTTATAAAAATCGTAACTTTAAAAAAATCTCTTTAAATTTATAACTTCGTACGCTACTTAGTATTTAAAAATATTATATAATTTCTTTATATTAATAAATAATACTATTTATTTTATTAAAAGAATTTATTAATTCGTTATAAAATAAAAATAATAAACCGTATTAAATTGTAATATAAAATAAAAATTAAAATCGATTAAACTAAACTTTTTAATAAACTTCTTAATAATTTATATATTAGTATAAGTTATTATTTAAAAACCGTTTAGTTTATTTTTAAAATAAGAAGCGTTATATAACGTAATAAAAATATTAACTATTAATAATTACTTTTATTTTTTTAGTTTATTAAATACTTTATTCTTGCTCTTAAAAACTTATAAAAAGATTTTATTAACGTTAGCGCTTATATATTTAAATACTTTTATTATATAAAAAGTAGAGCTTATAAAAGAATTTTTAATTAATTATTTCGAGATTATTTTATAAAGAGGTATAATAAAATTAATTAGTTTTATAATATTTTATAAAGGGATTAAAATTATTATAAATTTACGTTATAATAACTATAAACTAATTACTAATTTAAAGATTTAAATAACGAATAACTTTTATTTATAAAAGAGTAAAAATAGTAATTACCTCTATAATATAAAGTTATATAAAAAAAGTTTTCATAATAATTTATAATAATACGCGATTTTATATATTATTATACGGGGTTATATAAATTTTACTCCTTATATTTATTAAACCGTAATTCTATATAACGCTTATATACGGTTTAATTAACTAATATATAATTTAAAACTATATAGTAGGGTAGCTATAAAATTAGATTTCTGCTTTGGCGCATGAAAAAAGTGTTTTAGCGGAGTGCCTCTTGCAGTCTGCCGTACAGAGAGCCGAGCATAGATGGAAATGGAGAAATCGGCACTTTCTTCAGCATGGTAGTTGATAGCCAATCAGACAGATAACATCTTGGAAATTCCTGGGATCTAGAAAGCCACACATCGACTGCTTCTTGAGCGGAGACAACTAGCGATGTGAGCGTTGTGGCGGATCCTCGATCCCGACGTCGTCATACCACCAAGTGAAGATGAGGGAAACGAAAGGCTTCGAGCGCAAAGTTCGTGTCACCTCGTCAGTTTCCATGTCGTAAAGATCTCTCGTGGTACAGACCGTGGATGGTTCAAAACTAAATGCGTAAGACACCTGTCTATGTCAGCTGTTGGCTTCTAGCCCCCATTGACACCACAAGGCTGCCGTCATTCGTGCGAGAATCGCAGCGGGCTGAAGATTGAATCAGTGTAGATTGGTGGCGATGCGGCAAGTCTATGCGCTCTCTATACAAAAGGCTCCTTCATGATGATTCTGCGCTACTCTGAATTTCAACCCAACTCTCTTGGGTCCGGCAAATCAATATCAACAAGTCGTTGGGTTCTTCGTCATCTATCGCGACCTAATCTCTCTTCATCGTCTTCCGTAAGCTCGTACGCAGGTCGGAAGCCCGCACCGTTCTGTCCTTCAGTCTTCAGCTGAGGGTTGGGATGGGTATCTTGCGTTCCGCCTAAACTCGTGTAGCCCTGGAAGATGTCAGTCACCCAATTTTGGTTTCTCTGAATGAATCATTTTACCTGATCATATAGAGGACAGTATGGTATTTCTAGATGTCGGATGAACTAAGGTTCGGTCAGTATCCTTATAATAGTAACAAGCAAGGTCCATAACACCGCTGTCGCAAAGGCCCGGTATAATGTGTCAACTTACTGCCCAAATTTCGGCTGCGTAGAAGCGTTAGCAAGCAATTACACAGCAACCAGACAGTAGTGGTAACTAACCATAATGCCAGTCGATTACAGGATGCACCCGCATAAAGGCAGGCCAACCGGAGTCCGTGGGGTCAAAATCTGTCAACTTCTCGCCGTGGGGGTCTGTCCTCCTCGTCCCTACGAAAATGGCTTTTACGCTCGGCCTGTCTGCTAGGTATGCCTCGAGACCATCTTTCATTGACATGGCATATCGTTTTACGTCTAAATGGTATTCGGCGCTGGTGGTTTCGACAAAATCGTCAACTTCGGCGAATGGATGCTTCGATACGATGTACACTGCCTGGAATTCAGGAGGGAAGGAAGTCGTGCCGTTCGACCCGTTCGTTTGGGAGGCTTTCGAGGGAGAAGGGTATCGACGTGCCAGGGCGGCGAGGAGTATGATTAGTAGTACGAGGCCTGTCAAAGGGGTATGTCAGTATCATACGCCAGGCTAGGACAGATGACGGTATGCGATAGTAAAGACGGCGCCATGTCTCGATCCGAACGATTCGCAACACCGCAGCGAACATGTCGAGAATGCAAGATGTGAGCACGTACAGTCTTTTCCACCATTGTAGGAGATTGAAATCTGTTCCAGGCTGCCTCGGCGCATTAGCGACCCATGCGGACACAAGATAAGAGCTGACATGGCGTGTCACGCATCGCGCACCTATATCTTGCCAACGCCTCGTCAACGACCCCCATTGACGCGCGCAGCTGCTTTTGAACATTGCGCAGAACATCCGTCTTCTGGTCATCCGCTAAGAAAGCGTCGACCTTGTCCTTCAGCTCGTGGCACACTTCCTGGAAACTCCGCGGGGACGACTCGGATGAGTGGGGTTTGGCGGGGTAACCGTTGGCAGCCGCGGCAGCGGGCTCGCCGTTCCCGTTTGACATTGTGTGGATAGCTTCGAGACTGCTTAGATCGGCGATCACGGAATACGAGGAAGATGAAGAGTGTCGTCAAGAGCCAAGGTGGCAGAAGGACAGGCGTACAGGCGGGAGGAGTGGAATAGGGCGGAAAGTTATCGACTTCGGTGTCCTGTCGGAGACGGCGATGGCGGGGACGTGCGGGCGGGCGACACTTGCCATTTTGCCGGCTTATCTAAGACCTCCGATGCCTCGGGCTGTCCACCGCCTTCTCTGGGAGGCTTAGCGCAGCACGTGCAGAGCTACTTATCAGGTCTAGCGGCCCGCCCGGAACCGAGACCCCGAAAAACGCAGGTGCGCCGAGGCCACATGTTCCTGACTCGGTAGCTTTCTTCAGGGTCCACTTGGCCCACCATTTCCACCTCGGACTTGCCCTTCTTCTTCTTCTGGAAACAACATGGAAGGTAAGGTACCCTGATGCCTGCCACTTATCACCATTCCTTCTGCTTCCATTGTAACTTGTGTCCCTCAATTTGATGCTATTCACAAGTTGCTATTGCACCACCTTCCAAAGACTTGTTGCTCTGGCTCTGTTCTGCTACCCTGGTGTTACTGCTTTGATAAAATGATCCCCAACGCCTTGCTAAACAAACCGGCCCCCCGATTTCCTCCATCATTAGCGCCACTCTCCTCACTGCTCGTTGGATGATTCTGATAACGGCCGGGACCGCGGAAGAAGCCTTGCAGGGCTGGTATACGACCTCGGAGGCGGGCTCAATGGTGTGACGAGCTCTTCATCTAGCGGCCCAAACACGTCAGATCCATCATCCGACTCTCCAGCCGGCATCGCTGGAGTGATGTCTGTCACGATAGTCAACCCATGAATGTTCCCCTTCTGGTTGTAGGGCGCTTCTGGTGGCATTTCCGGCTCCATGTTCGCCTCAAAACCCATCTCCATGTCAAGATCAAGATCCATCGTCGTTGTGTTTTGGATGCTTTGCTGACTGTGGCTCCCGAACGTTCCCCCATTGATCCGCTTGTGAGATAGTTTCGCCTCAGCGCTTGCTTCAGACCGTTGTCGGTTGTAATATTGCGAGCAAGTAGATCTCGGAGACCGAAGCAGAGGCCGGAGTGTCGGTATGCAAGCGCAAATCACGGCACAGCAGAGCTCTACCTCGGACCAGATCAGGGATGGAATTACATCCCACGTCACATCAGCTGTGAATACATGGGTAAGAGTAGACATCCTGACAACAGAGATGGCCGTCGTGCTAAGATCAAGAAGTCAGTGAGACCAATGCTTCACCGGGACATGAATCACAAACTCACATGAATCCAACGCCAAATGTAACAATTAGCGCAGCCTTTTGAGCTCGTTTCAAATTCAAGCTGCTCAAAAGCGGGATCGGCATGAAGAATATGATCATGTCGGTCACCAAGTGAACTGCAGCTGTTGCCATCCACCACGCTCCCTGGTCGTACCGCTCAAACGCGAAGGTGTCGCCTCTCCAACCTGGTGCGCTGATGACGACGGACGACACCACTACGGCAATACCAAATACCGCAATAAAGCCTAGCATCGCGTCGCAAACAAGACAGAACGTGGGATGAGCGAATACCCGTCGGTACAAAAGGAGTAAAGCTATCTTCACGAAGATAAAGGTAATGTGGTATGATAAAGTTGCAGCAATCGTTGCCTGTAGCAGGTGTTAGCATCACAGGTTCCTCAGTGAACATCCTCAATTTACAGGAACACACCCACCCTGCGACCATTCTGCTGTACTTCAACGGGAACTGTCCAGACATGCATCCCAAGCCCAAATATGGTGCCTTTTCAATCGTTAGTCAAAGTATTCTCCCTCATCTTGCCATGGGTTCACGAAGCTCACATATTGAAAACACAAGACCAGTGAGTACTGTCAAAGCCTAGTACAGCTCAGTCAGTGTCTACCTTTTCCAATGCTCTAGGATTGTTAGTCGGGCTGATAGGACGAAAGCGCTTACATATGCGACGACGAGGAGAGTGTCATCCAAACCCCATTTCTTCAACACCACAGCCCGCACATAGACACGTAGAGCGACAAATATCAATGCAATTCCGAGAAACCCTGCAGTCATGCCAATGAGCAATGGAGCTCTTGTGGCGTCCGTGTATGGCGGGGTAGGGTCCCCTCGTGTAAAGCTCGTATTGTGCATGGCGCCTTCTTGTCAAATTCTCCCGTCCCTGTCAATGGAGCTTCTGCAACGGGCGGCCTTCGAATATTGGTGCTTTTTCAAAATTCTGAACTCGGATGGCTTTGGAGGCCGACATTGAACACCCAAGAAAGACTGAAACAATCTGTCAAGTCGTTGCGGAAACTGGAAACTAAATGCCAGGGTGCCACGGGACACATGGCCCGGGATGCCGCACGTTAGAGACAATGAAATGCAAAGAGATTCATGGGACGCCAAAAAGGTAGAAACTAACAATGAAAGCTTGCCATGTCCGGCGATCCTGAACTACCGAGGAAACAACATCTCAAGTCTCATCACCGCATGCGGCCACGCCACGATGTTCTTCAGCCGCCACAACGCAGAAGACTGGGATCTTAAAGCCCACAGGCCCAGAGCCGACTCCTTGCGACCACAATTCGGGGCCAATGTGCGTGGGTGAACAGTTAGCCATTGATGCTTTGGCTTCCATGGCGAATTCAGGCGACCTATCAGAGGCGGCTATGGACATCGAACGCCACACTTTTACTCCTATTGAAGAATTTGGCTGACTTATGGCCTGTTGTTTCGGGATTTTCGTTGGGGCTGGAAACGAAGGAGCACAAAGCCACCGGCGCACTTCCCTGAGCTCTTTCATCGAGTGCTAGAGGCATTCGTCGAGTGGTGTAGAGGATCTGCGTTTCCGGCAAACCGGATACGATTCACTACTAATCAGCCCGTCTGTCCTGCGCGCACTCGCGGCACTATGCGCTGCAAGGAGACAACCTCCAGGCTGGCAGAGTCCGAGGCGGGACGCCTGCAAGCCACATGTGTTTGATGCTTTCACGTGCAAATTTTCCACCATGGCAAACCTTCCATGTTGCCGTGCAGGCCTGTTGAATTATGATACTGAAAGAATTCGAGGCTCTTATGTTTGTGGTCTTTGCTGGCAACTTTTCGGGCGAGAACAGTTGGTTTTAAGATAGTTTCGCAGTTCGTACAGGTGACGGGTCGCAGCAAGAGCTGCGAGTTGCAAATGTACTTATCGGCATTGTCTTGCCGGAACACGAACATAGCCGCTTGAATGTGTTGAAGATGACCGAGCTAGAACAATAACTAGTAAGATGATCTACCTGTCTCGCCGGGCGTCTCTTTACACCTCAAGTGAAGACGTTATTACTGAACTTCGATGGAGGCCGCAGCTTCAAAGGATCTGTCACGAAAGCTCGGTCGCTTAAAGGACGCCACATCGACCGACGTGTCTCGACTTACTGACAAGCGGGTGATAGATCTCGTTGGCAAGGCCTTTTCCAATTCCGGAACCTTACTAGGCGCATGGGAATAAGCTGATAATATCAGCCAATTACCCCAACGTTGTCTCCTTGATAATCAACTATGATATGCACAGAGGCGGCATTGTCGGGGCACTGAAGACCCAGAGTTGCAATGAAGGGCACAGGTTCAGCAGTATGAGGCTTCAATATCAGAGAATCGCTTTCATTTAGTTCATGATGTAGAACATGTACAGAGAAGATGCATGCTTGTGCATAAACAATTCATAGTCTTTTTTAAGCAGGGAACCTCGAGTTCAGTGCGTTCCACTCAGCCTGAGTAATGGGCGTAACCGATCCATGCTTCAGTCCAGAAGGGAAGCCAGAAGTGCTACCAGCCTGCCAGTTAGGCGACTGAATATTGCTGGTCTGAAATGGCACATATTGAGTGTAGTCATCTAGCAGGAGGTGGTACAGTCCGGGCGTGGTGTTGTCGGCGTAAGAGGCCGGTCCCTCCCGAGGGCTCTCATTCCTGACATAGCCAGGAATACGATTCCAAGTGCCAAAGATGCCGTTCGAAGTGACCTCTTGGTAGACTTGGTTGGTGGTCTCGTTCTTCAGGAAGCGGGCATAGGAGCCGGATGTGCCTAAGTACTGGAACTCCTGGTCGATGAGGGGAGTGCCCGCTAAGGCAAGGTAGTCTCGGGCCGGACTGAAGGTGACAAAGTCCTTTGTCGTGGTGTATCGAATTCGGTCGAGCGTTGCGGTGCCGGTGTGGGCCGTGTCGGTGGACTGGTAGTGTCGGGCGGACCAGAAGACGTACCAATGAGCCTTTGCATCGTCCCAAACGGCTGACGGGGCCCAGACCATGCCGGCAGTGTCGGCTTCCACGATTCTCAGCGTGGGAGCAGACCAGTCGACGAGGTTGGTGGATTTCCAGACAACGATTCCCCTGCTACCAGTTCTCGTGGCTTTGTCCCAGTTGAAGCCAGCAGCATTGATATCAAGATCTGGCAAGACTTAGCTCAATTACTCTAGCATCTCTGTTAAAGTCAACTCACCAGTGGCAATTATGTACCACTCTGTTCGCGAGGGGTTTGTTGTCAGGTAGACATCACGGACAGCCTTGGTACCCACGGTCGACGTGAGGACTGCCTGACCCTTGTTGAGAAACTTGAAGCTAGACGCGCTGTTGCCATTCGACAAGTGAAACTGGACTTTCGGGTTGGCGTCGCTGAAGGTCGAGATCAGGTAGCCGGCAAAATTGGACGTTTGGCGGGCTACAGGATTGCCGGCTACGACAGCAGCCGACGCGACGGCGGCGAGGATGGAAATGACGCGCATCTTAAAGTTATCCTTAGATTCAGTTGAGTGGGTCCACAGAAGCAATGTCGTCGTTCATCCCACACGGCATCACAGGCATCTTGGAAACTGCCATCGTATATATACTCATGTCAGTGGCGATGAGATGATCGAGGTTGGCGCCAGGGCCTTGGCATCAAGTTTTCGAGTTCCGTCGCAAACGAGCTCTTCAGACTCAACAACAAAGCTTCATATCGATGTTGCTCTTCTATGGCGCGGCTAGTTGTCTAGCTCCGAGTCGGGGTAGCGTCTTACCGAGCTCTCTCACGATGCGGGGACACAAAACCCCACAGACGGTGCAATCACGTCCGTTCACGGGGTTAGCGCCTGGGGAAGACAGGCCCCTTTCGGTAGATACGGTAAGATACCCCATGGAGGGCTACATTGCTCTGCGGGGAGAACCATCTGGAGAAATCCACAAGTCGGTCGCGAACCTTGTTATTGCCCCTTGTTCATGATGCCATCGCGTGGGTGTCCGGAAGCACCCGCAATGCTGGGATGATCACATGGCGCAAGGACGCATTCTTGATTTAAGCGCCAATAGACTTCCAAGAAACCAGTCAAACTCAGTCCCAATAGCGTCTTGGACCGTTGCTTGGTTGCTCGGAATCCACACACCCTTGGTAGGGACAGTTGCAAGCCGAGTTTGAAGCCGCCCAATCATAAGGTGCCGGGCAAGCGATTTTGGAAAGGAATTCAAATTGGGTTGATACGCGATGCTCCCATGCCATCCCGAGTCCACGTACCTGCGTTAATTGCTGTTGTCAGTCTGGAAGGCTTTCCACCGAGCTACTTCGCTCTCTGTGAGTAGGAATAAAGACGTTGAAGGAAAGGCAACAGAGAGCACCAGGGCTTCCATTTACCTACGCTCATTGAAGAAGAATGTGGACACTGAATGAAACTGGCTTGACGCGAACAGAGCAGCCGGATTGAGTTCCAGTAAGTTCCTGGACCGAGACTAAGAGGTAATAAATGACTTTCTTGGTGGAGCCACATATTGAAGTCCCACAACAGATACCTACGGACGGGGTCGAACACCGACATCCGTACGTGGAGCAGAGTTCGATAAGGTAGTCACATCAGGTACGGTAGATCATCAGCAGACTCCCAAAAACTCACTAGCTTGGGCTGACCAGTCTTTGTGTCGTAAGCATAACTTGAACACTCCTGTCCTACTGCTGACGGTTGGGAGAAACGGCGCCGAATCAGATAGCTCCGATGGAGCACCGGCATCTCTGCTCGGCGGCTCAGAAAGGACCGTCTTGGCTTCAGATCCCGAAGCCCGCAGCTCACTTTTGAGGCCGGACTCTGAGGGGAGTTCAGGCTTCATCCCGTGTCCGAAGGCCCCTTCTGCTGACACCGTAGGGTAAGACGAATGACGTAGTTTGATGCAATTTGCTCCTTGAGGATTATCGTCAGACTGAGTTCTCCGCAATTGTCGTAAGCTTATGATGCTTATCACCACGTCCCCTGCGCTTCATCAGGTTGTTCATTTATACCTCTTCAATTCCACCGGACTCGCATAGACGGCCTGTCCTAACCTATAGCCACACTGAATACTAATCGTCCCGGAACATAAAAATCGACGAAATGAAGGAACCAAACGTTTGGCTTATCACGGGCACCACCTCGGGCATAGGTGCTGCCCTCGTGGAACAATTCGCCGCAAGAGGCGACAAGGTCATTGCAACAGGCCGGAATGCGACGGCGAGGCTCGCAGACAAGAAGTCGGACAACATCATACCTTTCGACCTCGATGTAACCTCCCCGCTTGCAGATATCAAAGCCCAGGTGCAACAAGCTGTCGAGGTCTTTGGGCACATCGACTTCGTTATTAGCAATGCCGGTTACTCTCTCCTGTCTTCAATCGAAGAAGCGGAGTAAGTACCTCCAAAACCTGATGTCATGCAGGAAACGAAGGGGCCCCACTAACCAACAGCTTACAGCGAAGAATTTGTTCAGAAAATGTTCGACACCAACCTCTTTGGAGCAGTGAAGGTGGTTCAGGCAGCTCTTCCGCATTTTCGTGAAAGAAAATCAGGCACCTTTGGGTTTATCGGTGCTGGCTTCGGCTGGGCATCTTTCCCATTTATGGCTCATTATGGCATGGCCAAAGGTGCACTCACAAGTAAGTGGCCTAAACCAGCAGAGGGGGGGTCGAACGAAACAAGACGAAGAGACTAATCATTGAGCAGTGTTTGTGGAGAGTCTCCAGAGGGAGACTGCTCATCTCGGTATCAAAGCCGTAATCTTCGAGCCCGGTGGTGTCAATACTGCCATAAACGACAAAAATGAAGACAAGCCTCAGTCCGAGGGTCCTCCTCCTGGTTACCCCACTATTGCAGACTACCAAGGCCTGTATGGTGAAGCTATGGGAAGGATCGCGACAGAAGTCTTCCCAAACCTCCCATCGTCCGTGGACAAGCTACCACCTGTCATTTGGGACGTGATAAAAGGGCAGGGCTTAGCAGCTGACAAGGCGTTCCCAATCAGGGTGCCTATTGGAGTGGACTCCGTTGAGGTCATCAGGCAAAAGTGTCAAGAGCAGCTCCGTCTATGCGACGAATGGGAGAGCGCTGCGTTGAGCACCGCTAGAGACGGGGTGACTCAAGTTCCGAACGAGTACATGATGAAGAAGCTTTCTATTCTGGATATGACAGATCCTTGAGGTATTAGACAAAGATATCGCCAAGAACGTATGTGTAAACTTGTTCTCTAAACCTTTCTTGTACAACTCCTGCAAGTGCCGATCACGTCCTATCCACATATTTTTGTTTTCCGCGGTACAAGGTTCTTCGCTTCCGGTGGAACCCCGAGATTTCAATACGAGTCTTCGACCTGTCGACCAGACAGTGTTGGAGGGTGGGTACTTCGTACACTCCTCAGCAGCGCCGGAAAATAAGGTTTACCAGAAGACGGAGAGTGTCCAAGCGTTTTCGAAGAAGGCTTTTGGTGTGCCATCTTGTTCCAATGTAGCAAGAAATCAAGCTGTCGAAGGACTTGTGTTAGCGAGGCGCCTATTCTGATTGAGGTTTCGTCATGCACTCGAACTCACCAGATCAGAAGTCCGCAGATGAGGCCGTATGCCCGCATGCTTAAATGGCGAATGATGAAATTTATCCAATCAATACGCAGAGGACAAGCGACCCGATGTGGGAGACGTGCATGTTTGGCTGGGTCAACGCTGTTGGGTAGCGAGATCTGCCGACCGTCAGAAGTGGGTGTTGTCTTGGACGAACCGCGGGAACTATCCCCTTCAACCGGGTTGTCCTTATCGCACTTTTTGCAAGACCTTGGCGTCCGAGTGGAAGGTTTCTTGTGGAATGTGAAGTGGTACGAAGTCTTGTTTGTTACTGGTCGGATGTTATTGACGATCGTTCCTTTGTTTTCGTAGACAGGCCCGTTGTACTGATTCTTGGCTGCGGTGCAAACATTGCTCGATGCGGTGTACGGATATATGGACTCGGTTTGTCTTCCTGCAGCGTCGTAGTTCATCGTCGTTCTCGGTGGCATTGTCGGCGAATCGAGTTACTGTAATTGTTCGCTTGACCAGTCAGTCGTCGTAATGACTCGGAAGGTGGTGTGGTCAGCCTAACTCAAGGCAGCCCAAGTTGGAAAGAGAATGTGCGGGAAACTAGGCAATGTTTCTGTTGTGGGAGGGCTGGGACCATGCCTGTGTGGCCATCACTACGGCAAAGTCGAAGCAAGGGGCCGTCTGGTGTGAAGCGCCAAGTGGTGAGTGTCCAGGGGTCTGCCCAATGACAAGGAGTTTTGCATGCAGCAAGTAGGCAAAGCAACCTCGACGCGTCTGGTACCATTGTGAAAGAGGGAGGAGCAAACGCTTCTGCGTTGGGCACGACGTACCCTGCATTTTGACCGCGGTCAGAATATGTCGAGCAGAAGCGACACGCGAAACATCGTGACCGACCGATAGTCTCGCGTTGGTGCAGGTATCACCTTCTCTCAGCACGGTATCAATAACGTTGCAAAACACTTAGCGCAGTGGACTATAGTCAGCTTTAGTCGTTAATACTAAAGTATCTTGTCTAGAAAGATGTGAGGCCCTAGATGATCTTGTGGCGTGTTCTAGAGATAGGCTTGATTGCAGCGTCTGACAAACAGGGCTGCCAATATACACACATCGGGCACCATGCCCACCATCTTCTATATAGGAGTAAGCCCAAGTCTCGCCCCCAATGTACAGCTCACCATCTCCAAGCTTCGTTGACCCAATCAAGACTTTTGCATTGGGACATGTACCCGGAGCCTCGAAGGGTTTGAGTTCCTATGTAATAGTGGCAGGTTCTCAACTTCTCATTACACGCAAGCAACGTGAGGAGATCTCTGTGTTAAGTCGAGTGCTATTCGAAAGTAATACTTTTCAATAACGTTACCTTAGGTCGCAAGAGAGCAGTAAAACATCACGAACGTTAGTCTCCGCTACCTAAGTGTCGTGGCATCTTGACTCTGACGAGATAGAGAGATCTAGTCTCCAGATGGAAAACACTGCCCACTAGTATCCAAGTACTCGTAGTTCATGGCAGTACAAAGTCTACCGCTGAGCTAAAGCAGGGAGTACACCCATTTCATATCCAACACTCATGTTCTAATGGCGGTGAGAGGAGAGATTTGAATTTCTACACCACACAAAAGCAGCAGCATGGCGACATTGCCTCTACAGCCTGCGTTGACACCAATGACCTGAAATTTATCTTCTCAGTGAGGCTCTTCACAAACCAATCGAACTAAGCCGTTCTAAGGACTCAGCCCCCTTTTCCGGATAAACCCTGCCCGGTTGCATATCAGCCTTATTTTTTCCTACATCACAACGTGGAATGTATCTCTGTTCATCTTCAACACGTATAGAGCTCACCTATAGGCATTTCATGACTTCTTCACTTCGCGGCCCCCAAGACAGAGACCAACTTGGCCATCTACTGCCACGTTATCGCAACCTTCATTCGGCGCATATGTCTGCCCGCATGTCTTCCGGCCACACCACTATGCTATCTTAAGATTCAAAGTGCAAGAATCTCTTGTACGGGCAAAACTATTGGCCTACCCTTCTCACCGCCTGGTGATGATCAGTATCCTTTCCACAACGCCTTGAAGTTGTCAGGCCTTGACTCACTCAACTATGGCCGAGATCGTCGGAGTTGCGGCTGCTGCTAGCCAGCTTGCAGTATCTTGCTTTGCGATTCTCGAGCTCATGAAAAAGATAAAAGAGGCGCCATCGGCCTTGAAAGATTATCAAACACATCTCCAAGAACTCTATGATCTTTCCACCTCTATATCACTCAATCCCCTTCTCCAGACCAAAGAGATTGGTTCACAGACTCTTTCGCTACAGGCGATTGTAAATCAATACGACATCGAGTCAATTT